TTGGGTGCGGATGCTTTTGAGCAAGGCCCAGTAATGATCAAGAAGATCCATGCCTACTTGTTAAAGGAGGTGAACCTGGCGGAGAATGCTGAAGAAAATACAGCCGGATTCGTAAACAGAGTGTGCCAAGTTACCCTGAAAACTTTCTGGTCTGAGAAGGTGAAGGGAGAAGAGGGCTTCCAACGGACTGATAGCATGCTGGAAGGGCTGGGAGCCGGATGGACCGCGTCCTTCTTGGCAAAATTCCACCCGAAACTCTCTCATTACTTGATAAAGGAATTCCTCCAAGCAGTAGTGGAAGTGTCGATTGTGGAACTACTAGCCTTGTTCGTGACGTTTGGAGCAGAGAGCTTCGTGAAGGGACTTGTGATACTGCTCACCGAAGAAATCCAGAACTTGCAGTTAGATGGGCTTCTAACATTGATTGCGATTACCCATGGAAACTTGGGAGGACTAATGAAACTGACACGTTAACCAGAACAGATGAGGGAGAATGTGAAGAAGTTTGATGTGAAGAAAGCCACGGATTCGTGGAAAAAGATAAGAGATCTGAGACATACTCTTATCCAGTACCTCCTGCATCAGAATCGCTTTGGAACAGGAGAGGATGAGACGATTCAGAGGGAGGAAGACGTGAGACTACATGTTGGGGGCATGCCCCTACTAACTGATCTAAGCTTGGCTATGAGGACCGATCCCTTAGCGTTGATCAGAGGAGCCACAGAGTTTGTGACAGTGATTTATGGACCAGCAGTCACGTTTGCGTTCCCTGATGTCAAGGTGGAAGCATACAGGAGGTCGGTGCTGCACCTGAACCTCATATCAGCAGTGGACGGTAGTGCGCTGAACTGGTGTGAGCAGCAAGTATTGCGGGAGCTCATGAGCGAAGATCTGTTATTTGCGAAAATATCAGAGCCAGAAATGACAGTCATCAACTTTGACGATCACTTCCGTGATCGCATGGGAGAAGTAGAGAGAAGGCACACCGAGGTATTTCCGAAGCTCTGGATTCTAAGACCCTATGATAAGACGAATGGTGAAATGACCAGAGTTCCTCGTCTCACTGCAGCATATCACAAGGTGAGAGAATAGACGAAAGATTGGGGTGATTACGAAAAGCTGCCAGAGGAAATCCCTGAATTCACTTTGATAAGAAGGATGTTGCTCGGAGCAGTCTCCGTAGTACAAACTCCTAGACTAAGAGCGTTTGAAACCAATGAAAGGAGGATAGGGAAATTCGTGGAAACAATGGATCCATACTTTGTGGGGAGGAATGCCGCCGTGCTACAGTACACGCGATTTGCCTACACGGATCAAGCGACGAGAGTGCGAATAAGCAAAGCCGCGACTCCGAAGTCTGGAGCGTTTGACACGTAATGGGTGGAATTAAACCTAGCGCCCATGAGAATGAGAGGCAGAGCCGAATTACCTGATGCCTCTCTGATTTTGAACAGTGTGAAGCAGGAATTAACAGTGGGAGGAACGTTGCGGACGAGAACCTTCCTGGCACCCTTCGGCTGTGAGGAAATCAAAGTGGTTCATGGAGAAGAGGAAGATAAATCAGCCGGCATACTGATCATACCAAAATTTCCGGAATGGGCCGAGACTGAAAAGCAAGGACCCTCAAGCTCGAAAAAGATACATCAGAAGGAGATGATGGGCAAGGAGGAAGCCGTCGAACGGAGAAACCCATGCAACAAGGTACCGATCAAGCAGATAGGGAAGACGACAAGGCATCGACAGGAGGAATATCCAGCCTGGATTTCAATTTCCTCAGTGACTTTGAGAATAATGCGGATACGTTGGAAGCGGCTGAGCCAGCAGACGAAGGCACTTCGACACTTGAACCTCCGTCGGCCTTTATGGAAATGAAACGCAATTTGCCGGAGAGCAGCTCTCCGGGCAATTCAAAAGATAACGAACAAAGACTCCTCATGGAATCACCGAGGAGAAGAGGAATAGAAGGCGCTGCCAGAGTACCTTTCTTGGGAACGTTGCCCGAAGAAGAATGGGAAGTACATCACCGAGACCATGAAAATAGGACGGGATGTAGATTGGACAGAGTGGCGTTCATGGAAGAAGTCTGGACAGTAGTTCAGAGCTACGGGACCCAGTCCATTTTGAAAGTTTGAAAGACCGACCATTGATGCGGGAAGTCCTTGACAAACTTGATGAGTGTGAAGGGAGAATGAGTGAGTTGTTGATTGACTCAGCCACTGACGAAAGTGAAGTGAACTCTCTCATCAAGATGACACCGCAGGGAATAAAGGAGAGGTGGTGTATCTGTCAAGAACCAGGAAAGGAACGATGCGATCGAAACTGGCGATTGATAAGATCAACGAGATGAAGATGAAATTAGGCAGCAAAGTGATACCGAGGAGAGCAGGAAAGACGAAGGTGGATTCGGAGATGCCAATCCGGAAGGGTCCCAACTTTGCCAATCCAGAGGGGTCTTATTTTTGCCAACCCGGAAGGGTCACAGTTTTGCCAATCCGGAAGGGTCCCAATTTTGCCCATCCGGAGGGGTCTTATTTTTGCCAATCCAGGAGGGTCACAATTTTGCCAATCCAAAGGGGTCCTATTTTGCCAATCCGGAAGGGTCCCAATTTTGCCAATCCGGAGGGGTCCTATTTTACCAATCCGGAAGGGTTCAAATTTTGCCAGTCCGGAAGGGTCCCAATTTTGCCAATCCGGAAGGGTCCCAATTTTGCCAATCCGGAGGGGTCCTATTTTTGCCAATCCGAAAGGGTCCCAAATTCACCAATCCGGAGGGGTTCTAATTTTGCCGATCCGGAAGGTTCCCAGTTTTGCCAATCCGGAAGAATCCCAACTTTGCCAATCCGGAGGGGTACCATTTTGTCAAAACTTAAATAAACAAAAGAATAGTGAAAGGTATTAGGTTATTAAGAGTCAGGCTGGGAACCAGTGACTGCACTGGTAACTTGCCTTTTATAAAAGACCAGACAAAAAGAAAACAGGTCTAAACTCGGATATTCGCGACACTAAGTGTAAGCTGAACAAGAGTTTGTAACTAATTTGTGTGGATTGAAATCCAAAACAATTTTGGGAAAAAAGATTGCCCTGAGGATTTTAGTAGGTCTAGCTCGGGCAATCCGAAGGCAGATAGGTAACACAGGACTCGATGGGTGCAATAGACGCCCAATTGAGAAAATTACTACCTTCATGTTTTGTCTATTTGGTGCAGCACCGAACAGTAACAGTTCTTTCTTTAGAAACCAATTCGACTATTACATTGCGACTGACTAAAGTACAAAACACATACGTTTTTCATTGAAAATATTCTTATTTTTCTTCATTTTTGGTTTTAAATCAATAATATCTGTCATTGATTGGGTAGTGAGAACACTATTTTTTAAAAAAAATTGATATCATCAGACTGTGCTAGCTTCATATCTTACAACTAATAATCGACTATTGTGAATAAATTGTATACACGCTGTACTGTGATAACATGCAAGGATTCGTGGTCACTTTTTAAGTGAAACTTTTGGAATTTATTGTGTGTTATTATAATCAGTAGTCAAACAATAAGGACACTAGCAATCGAATTGAGTGTATAGGCAGTAAGAAGTGAAAAATTGAAAATGAATCTAGACAAGTCAAGGATACCTAAATTCAGTGATAGCTCCAGGAAATTCATACCAGAGAAACAGAGAAAAGCAGTGAACGACCCTTTTGTGGAAAGGATCACACGAACCCGGACCGACAAAGGAAAGAAATTTTTAAGCAGAATGGTTGAAACCAGGAGTCATAAGTCCTCAGAAGGACAAAGGGCAATGTTAGAAGTAGAGGTCTATCCAGACACTGCCATGGATGAGAACTTGGAGGGACATGGACCGGAAGGAAGAGGAAACAGACGATTGGCGAGTGAATCTACTCCGGTAGAACAAGGCCGAGATTTTACCACTTCCACCGGGAACCTAGACCGAGAAGAGATGTCGGAACATTCCGACATCTTTACTGCAAATATGGCGACTACAAGACCACCCACAGACAACACCATAAAGCTTGGCGTGACGGAGAAACCGGCAACGTCCTCATCGTTTTCAGAAAGAGTGAAGAACACTTTCGGAAACTTCTTTCCATTTACCATGTGAACGGGTACAGGCAATGAAGCAGAAACCCAGGAAGATGAAGAGGATGATGGCGTGCAAGATGACTTTGGATCTCAAATCAGCCTCAATAGTTCGACTCAGGAGAATGACGCATACACCGATAGAGAGACTGACACCATGGACCAATTTGGTGTAGTGAGGCCAATAAGCAAGACCACAAACGGATCAGGCCAGTCAGGAGATTTTGTGAACATGACGAATTCGGAAATGCGAACTGGGAAGAATAGAAACACAGGGCTATGTAACGCACCTGCGGATCCAGAAGTGGATCATGAAAAGACGTCGAGGCAGAGAATCAAGACCCGAGTCTCGACCAGCACCAAGCTACCTGGGACCGACAGGGTGACACCGCCACTTGTGACGCCATTAGTGGATAACGGAGCATCAATTGAAGAAGCCTTGACCAACACAGTGGGCAGCATAGGAGAACAGAGTGAACAGATGTCCTTAAAAACGAGTGAACTAGAAAGGGCAGTCCACGTCGAGAGAGAAAATCTGCGGGAAGAGCTCAACCGCAACAGACAAGAATCTTGCCTGGAATCGCGGCATCAATCTGAAACACAAACAACTGGGGCGAGAAAGGAAGCTCTTTGGGATGATTTATGAATACTTTCACTTAGGGTTTAAAATTGCTGAGGCAAGGGCGATGAAAAAAAAGAAAGAAAAAAAGAAAGGAGTGGTACAACCTGACGTCGATTTGGAGGTCGATTCACAAGTTCACTCCTTCTTGCGTCTAGTTACGCCAGGGAAACTCACTCGCCTACGACTGTGACGGCGAGATTTGGTAAGATAACCAGAAGAGGAAAGCCCAGCGCGCATATGATATGAAAACACACAAGCGGTAAATTTGAACAAAGAAAGACTATTTAATAAGTTTATCACAACAATCGTATAGGGTCCCTGTTTTTACGTTCGTAAAATTTCAGACCCTTCCGGATTGGCGTTCAGGGACCCAAGTTGGCAAAAAATGACCCTTGGCAAAATGCATGGCAAAATTCGATTATGACATGCATATTTCGAAGTCATTCTGGTCAAATGGCAGAATGTTTTTCACCGTCTCTACCAAATCTAATTCAATGTGATCTGTTGAAAATCGTGTCGCAGAGTCAGTGACTGTTTAATGACAAGCGGTCACAGACTCCAAATCAGGTACAAATTTATACGCAGAATCATGAACTCATAGCTGGGTCTCAGTTTCCCCAGACGACGAGGTCACTCCTAGAAAAAAGGGGTAAAACCTTAAAATTCATATAATTTTGTTCAGTAGAGTTTTAGTATAACCATCGGAAATGAGAGGTTAGTTTTGGATAACAGTCGAAAAGATTGACAAAAAAGTTAAAAATCAATAACTTGACTATTCCGAGGGCCATTACTTTATGTGCAAAAAAATTCGGTCATAGCCACTTCTACAGGAAAGTTTTTCGAAAAGATTCAATTATTTACCAAACACTCAAATTTGAGAGTAGAAGTTTTCGAGAAAACGAAAAAAATCAAATTATGGGTCAAATATTATGTGTCAGTCGGTCATATTTGGAAGTTTGACCTTGAGCAACGTTTAGTCTTGATTTTGGGGTTAAACAGAATTTTTTTTTAAAAATAGAGTAAGGGGCTTGTCATGCTCATGTTTTTTGCGATAACTGAAAGTACGAGAAAATAAGATCAGAAGATTCCATCTACAATCGCGGGAAAGTAGCCCAAAAAATAGAAGCGTGAAATTGCTATTGTAACATTCGCCCGGAAGTACATATCGACGGAAATAAAGCTAGGTTCTAAAAGGACTGGCTAGCGTCTAAACACAGCTTTACACGCTTTTCACCGTCTCTGCCAAAGCCAGTTCAATGTCAAGTTCTCGTAACATCGGGTCGACGCAATCATTTGAACTTAAAGGCTATCGGCCAAGCCGCTCAAATCAACCAAGTTACATGCAAAATAGTGAGCTCATGGCTGGGTCTCAGTATCCCGAGACCACTAGGTCACTCCTAAAAACAGGGCTACTACTTGATTAAAATATTACTATAAAATATTTCTACCTACTCTTTATATTTTTTTAAATATTACGATTGTTTTTGTTCAGTAGATAAAAATCATCATCTCCATCGAAAATTGATCAACCCTTTCCCCCCAACTCCTAGCTTCTCATGATCTGAAAACGAATTTGGTATTAATTAAATTCAACTCAAGACATTCCGGGAAGCTGAAAGTTTTTAAAATAGCGAGTTACAGTTCTCTCCCGAGACCCTTCCGGATTCTGGAATCCGGAGAAATAACGCTCTTATTTCTTCTCGGAAGAGTGGAAAAATCGTCCCAACACCCTTCCTTGTTCTCGTGAACTGCTCAGTAAAGATTTGTGACATTCGACCAGAATGTACGAAAATGCAGTTTCGCAGTCAAATTTTTATCGATTAGAAAAAAGAACATCTAACAGGGAAGGTTGATGGTTTTAATGAATTAGCGACGTTAACTGATTGATTGGACAAATCGGGAAGGGTTAGTTTTAACTGACATGCTTATTTTTAAAATTTCGATTTAGACATGAACGTTACGTAACCTTTTATTATTTCGCACACACTGAAACGGCGAAAACACAACAACAATAGTCGCAGTGGAAACAACAACGAGAAAAACGACAACAAATTGAAATTGTAATTGGAGATTGTCAGGAACCATTCCGAGTTGTAACGATTGTGCTGCTCTGTAGCGACCCTTCACCGAATTGTGAATTTCCGAATTAAGCAACTAATTTCGGGTATTGAACAAACCCGGAGGGGTATAATGATACTAGTATTACTACTTATACAGCCTATATTATTACTCCTATACCGTTTTCATGGAAAAAGACAGTAAGCAGACCGGTTTTTAGGGTCAAAATAGCGTTATTTTGATACCCCTACAAATCGCGATTTTTGGAATACAGATTTTTTTTGAAACGGAAAAAAGCGCAAAATTAGTGTGTTACATCGTAACTGTACTAGTTTAATAGGTAGAACCGGTTGAGTTCAGTTCAGAAATGGTTGGAACTAATTGGGTACCAAAAACTGAATTTTCTTGATTTTTGAAAAACTAAACGCTACAAAATAAGAGAATTTTTGAAATTTTTGAGTTAGGACAGTAAAAATTGTTGTTTGCACAACGTTCGCTAGTGAATCGACAGCTTTTAAAACCCGTTTGCCGATAACCTTCCGGGTTACAGTGAAATCGAACTTTACGTGTTTGATTTAGTGGATTCATCAATCCGGAAGGGTCTATAGCATTGTTTTTGGCGAATTTTTTCAGCTGGAACATTTTATATCGGGTTTTTTTGCATTGAACTGGAAGAGTATAGCCCTTCTGAGCTTAGATCGAAAACTGTAGGGTCGAAAAGAATAGAATTGCGAAGAAAAGTTAACCTATTTTTCGCGATAACCTATTAAAAGAGATTTTATTTTGATTTCAGAAAAAAGACGTTTTGGTTAATAACTTTGGAACAACTGGAGAAATCCAGTTGATCTTAGTACCATTAGATTAAAAATTAGGTGAGCGTACTCATAGAAACATCAATTATTCAAAAAAATTAAGCGTGAAAATTTTTTAAGATTGTTTTTAGCAAACTCACTAATTTGGGAAGGTAGACCCTTCATATTTTATAAATTTTTTTGGAAAGCCCTCACACCCCTACCAAAAGGTAGTAACGGTTGAGTAAGGCAATTTTACGTTGATCTAGATGAAAACGGAAGGCTAAGGAAACCAGAAAACCCTAGTCGAGTCGAAACTAGGCTCTTAACAGTTAAGGTGAATTGTCAAGTAAGAGGCTTAGCATCGATCTGGAAGGGTCTAGGTACGGAAAATACACCCTTCCTAGTTAGTTCCAACAGCATATTAGCATCGGAGAGCGTATCCGGAAGGGCATCAGATAAAATTTTTAAAAGTCTCTGAAAAGCTATTTTTACAAACCCGGAGGGGTCCCAATCCGGAAGGGTCTCAATTTTGCCAATCCGGAAGAGTTCTACTTTTGCCAATCTGGAGGGGTCTTATTTTTGCCAACCCGGAAGGGTCACAATTTTGCCAATCCGGAAGGGTCCCAATTTTGCCAATCCGGAGGGGTCTTATTTTTGCCAATCCAGGAGGGTCACAATTTTGCCAATCCGGAGGGGTCCTATTTTGCCAATCCGGAAAGGTCCCAAATTCACCAATCCGGAGGGGTCCTAATTTTGCCAATCCGGAAGAGTACCAATTTTGCCAATCCGGAGGGGTACCCTTTTGTCAAGACTTAAATAAACAAAAGAATAGTGAAAGGTATTAGGTTATTAAGAGTCAGGCTGGGAACCAGTGACTGCACTGGTAACTTGCTTTTTATAAAAGACCAGACAAAAAGAAAACAGGTCTAAACTCGGATATTCCCGACACTAAGTCTAAACTGAACAAGAGTTTGTAACTGATTTGTGTGGATTGAAATCCAAAACAATTTTGGGGAAAAAGATTGCCTGAGGATTTTAGTAGGTCTAGCTCGGGCAATCCGAAGGCAGATAGGTAACACAGGACTCGATTGGTGCAATAGACGCCCAATTGAGAAAATTTCTACCTTCATGTTTTGTCTGTTTGGTGCAGCACCAAACAGGAACAACTCTTTCTTTAGAAACAAACTCGACTATCTCATTGCGACTCACTAAAGTACAAAACACATACGTTTTTCCTTGAAAATATTCTTATTTTTCGTCATTTTGGTTTTAAATCAATAATATCTGTCATTGATTGGGTAGTGAAAACACTATATTTTAAAAATATTGATATCATCAGACTGTGCTAGCTTCATATCTTACAACTAATAATCGATTATTGTGAATAATTTGTATACACGCTGAGCTGTGATAACATGCAAGGATTCGTGGTCACTTTTTAAGTGAAACTTTTGGAATTTATTGTGTTGTGTTATTATAATCGGTAGTCAAACAATAAGGACACTAGCAATCGAATTGAGTGTATAGGCAGTAAGAAGTGAAAAATTGAAAATGAGTCTAGACAAGTCAAGGATACCTAAATTCAGTGATAGCTCCAGGAAGTTCATACCAGAGAAACAGAGAAAAGCAGTGAACGACCCTTTTGTGGAAAAGATCACACGAACCCGGACCGACAAAAGAAAGAAATTTTTAAGCAGAATGGTTGAAACCAGGAGTCAAAAGTCCTCAGAAGGACAAAAGGCAATGTTGGAAGTAGAGGTCCATCCGGACCCTGCCATGGATGAGAACCGGGAGGGACATGGACCGGAAGGAAGAGGAAACAGAAGATTGGCGAGTGAATCTACTCCGGTAGAACAAGGCCGAGATTTTACCACTTCCACCGGGACCCTTGACCGAGAAAAGATGTCGGAACTGTCCGACATCTCTACTGCAAATGTGGCGACTACAAGATCACCCACAGACAACACCATAATGCTTGGCGTGGTGGAGAAACCGGAAACGTCCTCATCGTTTTCAGAAAGAGTGAAGGACACTTTCGGAAACTTCTTTCCATTTACCATGTGAACGGGTACATGCGATGAAGCAGAAACCCAGGAAGATAAGAGGACGATGACGTGCAAGATGACTTTAGATCTCAAATTAGCCTCAATAGTTCGACTCAGGAGAATGACATACACCGATAGAGAGACTGGCACCATGGACCAATTTGGTGTAGTGAGGACAAAAAGCAAGACCACAAACGGATTAAGCCAGTCAGGAGACTTTGTGAACATGACGAATTCGGAAATGCGAACTGGGAAGAATAGAAACACAGGGCTATGTAACGCACCTGCGGATCCAGAAGTGGATCATGAAAAGACGTCGAGGCAGAGAATCTGGACCCGAGTCTCGACCAGCACCAATTACCTGGGACCGACAGGGTGACACCGCCACTTGTGACGCCATT